ACAACTAAACGTCATAATGACATGCTGTTTGACAACAGGCTCTCCCTTTAAATTTTCGTTAGAGAAAAAGAGATAACATACGGTACTTCCTACTTTAAGCTAGTACATATGAGTAGATAGTGTTGCCGTGAGGTACACTCGAAAACTTCAAATGTAAGTGCGTCAAATCAAATTTCGAGCCGCTCCGTCTGTCACTTCGTTTGTGACTAGACTGTACCACATGGCAACACTACTACTGGATTGTACTAGCATTTTTACCAAATGTATTAGAATGTTTTGGTTCTATCTCTTTCACTCTACTCAAAACTGAAATGCATAAAAAAATGACAAAATGATACGCACTCTTTGCACACTGTCAAAGAATCATTGTACACAAAATCAACTTTGTGCAAAACCAAAACAAAAATACTATCCCATCTGGTGGATGATGGCAGAAGCTTCTAAGAAAATTCTACTACAGCGAACCACATTATTTTAATTGATTCCTTCGCCAGTTAGTCGTCTGTCACTTCGTTTGTGGTTATAACATGTTATAGCGCTATCTTGATGGTGGTTTCAACAATCATATTACACAGCAAAAAAAAATGTAATATCGATCAACGTAATTCAAGCTGATGTATGAAATAATGATGTAATAGCAAAACGCAGATACAATATTACATCAATGGATGTAATTTTGTTCGCAAAATCGATGTACATCGTACAATGTGATATTACACAACCGATGGATTGACCTGGTTGCAGCAGTTTCGATGTAATATTCAACAACTTTTTTTGCTGTGTAGATGTATTTTATTGGGAGCAATATTCATCCCAAAAATCATGCCAAAAAAAAATATTTGCTGTTGGTTTTCTTAAAAAGGCAAATTTATATGGCTATCTAATGATTGAGATAGATCTGTTTACAGCCTGGATTTTCCTAAAGTTCAAACTTAAATTACTTTCCAATAATTTCTACATGTCTATTTACACGCTAGACATATGAGACATAAAAGTCTTTAAAAGCACTCTAATAAAATATACATGATCGTCATATAAGATAATTGTTTAGTGAGCGATATTCATCACGAAAACAGGTATTTTTACTGGATTTTCTAATAGAGCAAACTTATATGACTGTCCGATAGCTTCTATATGTTTGTTTCACCCATGACATATAGACAGTTCTTCATATCGGACAACAAATATTCATATACATTAGACTGGCCCACATTTAAAAGGGGTAATTTTTTATCATTTTTTTCAACCGGCCAACCCTCAGATTTTTGCCATTAGGTGAGACAACCACTCTCTACAAAATTTCAGCTCGTTCGGATTTAACACGAGCTTGCGCTTTTGATTTAAAATTTATTAGATTACAAGTAAAAAAATATAAGTTCATATTTTCCGAGATTTGGAGGCGAACCAGCCCAAGGCTGAAAGCCTCCTTAATAAAGCTAAATAATAATAATAATTTTCCGAGATATTTTCCACAGGCCAACATCCTGACTTGTGTCAGTAGGTGAGATAACCACTCTTTGGATGTTTCAGCTCTTTTTGACGTTACACGGGCTGGCGCTTTTGGTTTAATGTTCATATAGGAGATTTGGTTGACATTTTCATGTACAAAATGCTCATATGCATTCAAAAGCGAATATCTCCATAAAACTAACTGGATTAATTATGCAATCTTCAGCAAGGTTGTTACTCATTGTTTGAACTACAAGTTTTGTAAATCTGAATCAAATTGAGAATAAATAAGTAAACTTTTTTATGGTCGATAGAGTGTAGGAGAGTCATTTTTTCATGTATTTTAATCAAATTCCCCAAACAAAATTCAAACTAAAAGCACCAGCTCATCTTAGAATCGAATGGGCTGAAACTTTCAGATAATGGCACAAATCTAGATGTTGGCCTGGGGAAAATTAGAACTTTTATTTTTGTGCGCCAGTCTAATATACATCTTACCCATCGTTCAAAACAAAGGAATGTCATGACTAAGTTTGTGAAATTTCGATAGAAATCATTCCATATCGCAGTCGCAGTTTTCAACACTGATAATCCAATGGAATCTATCAATCATCACATAACACATCAAACCTTCAGACATTGATATGCTGTAAGATGGATATGCCGATTTGTTTCAGTGTATACGTACCAATATCGAGAGAGTGAGTCACTTTTAAAGATAATAATAAATCACTTTTACTTATCGGTTCGCTGATATGCCGACCGCCTTGAAGCCTACTGGATTTCAATCCTAATCCTTAACTTATTTCAAATCTTAACTATCGAACGAATTAAAATTATTCTTGGGTTCACTGAGTTGATTCTACTTGCTTCTGCAACGGTTGGACTCTTGTCTTTGGATGCCGTTGGCTCTCGGAACACCACATTTGGTTCTTCCAGCCACCAATTTGTCTTCGTTACGTCAACTTGTTCCATACGGATTGCATGTCAGTTAGACGGTAGTGTGCCTTAGGGGTTCTATCGATTTCTTGGACATCAATCGACCGTAGGAGATCTTCCTGACTGTCCTGCCGTTGTCTTTGATGACGGTATGGATGGGCATCGTTCGTCACTAGAATAGGGTGATTTTTCTTTTGAATTTATGAAACAAAAAACAACTTACCTGGAGCGGAGACTCTCATGGCCTAAGTGACCGCTAGAGACGGTAGCGGTGGGCTCTTACCGCTGCAAGGGCTGATCCGTTTACTAGAACTACCTCTGGATGTGTCTGGATTTACTTTGGCGAAATGGAAGTGATTAGTTTGGTACGAGTTGAGCAAATGGACAAACTGGCTTCTACATTCGTTGCTTGAATATAGACTTCACAGGAATTCTTGGCTGGACGATCCCAAATAAATTATCCTTTAAAATATCGTCACGAAAGTTCTGATAAAAGACTATTTGTGACTTAAGCAGCTTGGTTGAAGGTAGTCTATAGAATTTTAAGCAGCCTCATTTTTAAGTCGTTATAAGAACTTGAAAGTTCCGGTACCATAATTGAAGAGCATTCTACTGCAAGAACAAAATTAATAAGAATTTCATTTTGTTTTGGCTGCAAAAAGAAATCATTATTATTTCAACAATCCAGTATCTTTGTTTCTATAAACCCATGGATTGTTAAATCAAAAAGAAAATCTGTTCGAATTTACAAGCTGTCAAATTTGGCAGCAGGGTCAACAAAAAAAAAATTGCACTTTGACTATATGTTTTTTTTATTAGTATTACTTCTACGTGAAGTCAACGATTTACATAGTTGAAGATGCTAATTTCAAATAACAGACTGTAGTGGTGATTTTTATACGATAGATGGAGTAGATGAAAGCATAGAGTTGATAGTTCCGTTAGAGTACGGCAGTGTGAAGATTGTATATAGATATTAGACAAGCGAGCTAGGACAACTTTTAACCATCATGCAGACAAGAACTACCGGTGCATAAATAGTGGCAAGGTACGATGGGATGGATGGGATGGACAATGGGAGAAAACTAAACGAATTCCTCAAAGAAGTTGAATTTAATTTAAGGTCGGAAGGATGCACAGAAGCAGAATTGTTCGTATCTGCACATCATCTGTTTACGCGGAAAGCTAGGTCGTGGTTTATGGAAGTCAATGGGAACAATGAGTTAGGATCGTGGAAGAATCTGGTAACTGAACTTTAATGCGAGTTCTTACCTTTAGACATTGACTACCAGAAAGGAGAGTAGATTTGAAAATCCAAATGGTCAAGTCGAGGAAAGTCGAGTCAGCAGAACCAATACTGAGGTGGGAATGGGTCGAAAAATAGATATCCGTCAGGGTACACAGGAGGATACCAAGGACAAAATTTTAACCAAAATTGTAAACCCGAAGGTAACCAAATTCCACCTGAGAGGAACAAAATTCAGAGTGAAGATAATCAACAGAAATTTCAGCCGAAACAGAAGCCAATCCAGCAGAACAACCAAAATCAGCAACGAAGACAGGACAACCCATAAGCAGCACCGAGCGGTACCAGTGCGTTACATAGGATTGTAAAAGCATACATTCCGATAAAACAGGAACGCCACGTCTTTTGTGCACGGGGTTCAGCTAGTCCTGTATAAAAGACATGCATTTCACGTACATGAACCTAAATGCGATTTATCTAAGAGGAAGAGGTGACAATTGGCTTCATCTTCTTTTATTTCTATCTATATCTTTATCTTTATCTATCTCTATCTCTATCTTACGCACATGAAATCGGCCAATCAGGAGCTGGTTCACGTTTGACAGAAAAGTAGTTCATTTTCGCCCCCGTATTGTCACCTCTTCTCTTAGCGATTTATACCTTCTTTTACTTGAGAAAAGTTTCATTGTTACGCGTTTGACCTGGAGAAGGGGGAGAGGGGGGGGGGGGGGTATTGATAAATTTGTTATGTTTGGTTACATGGAGGAGGGTGTGGAGTATAAATCTGATATTTTTCCTTTATGTAATTTGTGTACAGACCCTAGGACGTTGAGAATAGAAAGTTCCCTTTTCCCAGAGTAATTCCCATATAAACTTTAAAGGGCCAGTGTAGTATGAGATCGCAATCAAATGAGCACATATTTTAATAGATCGTTCTCAGAAACTTGGTGCTTGTGCTTGGTAGAACAAAGTAGATATTTTGAACCACCCTAGTACATACTCTTTGAGGAGAAAACATGTTTGAGAGTTTCTGATTTGAAACTTGGTAAATATCATCCAGAAATGAGAGATATTCAACAAAAGATTATTAACGTCCGGAACCCTGTTTAATTAATGATAAGTATTGGAAACCTTGATTGAGCAAGCAAATATGATTTTGGATTGTTCTGTACAGTAGGTATAAGTAGTTTCCAAAATGGACAATGCAACACGTTGAGTGCTCTTACGGCAAAAGAACTACATCGTCCAAATCTGCCAATACGCATGACCGATGGAATCGAAATCAGTTTCCATGGCGCGGAATGCAATGAAAACACTAAAGTAAGCAAATCTATTTGCATTAATTCCATAAGTGATTCATTGGACGTGCATTGCGATGCAAACTCATTTTTAAAATAGGAATAAAAAAGATCGATTCTATCCAAAATGGACATCTCCATAAAGCCAGTTTTTTCGTTCTCTCTAAACTATAAGGTGTTTGAGAAGTTGGTGACTTGTGGCAAGTACGATGGCATACATTCATGTTTGACCGTGGTGACCAATGCGGATAAGGTAAGAAGGAGAATTCCTGTCTGTGGATCCGTAAAATGCATAAAAAACTGGTTACCTTTGAATGCTTTGAATGGGACTGTCTGAGGCCCGTTTGCCCAAATTCGCAAACTTGGTCGTGGCTTGATTCGATCGAATGTTGCTGTTGATCATTGGCTATTTTTTAAACTCGCAGATATTGATACACACTCCTCACAAACGGTATGGATTGCAAAATTCGAAACTTTCAATATCGGAAATCAAGAATGACATCGCGATGCTCAATATGAACTTTCCCATTCGGGCCATCATCGCCGGAAAGCTGAAGAGAGACGATGATCGAGACATTCTGGTTATTGGGAGTTCATCTCACTTTCTTGGTATGTTTATATTGACGAATGGAAGAGCAGTTCCGATTACAATGGGATTATTTCAACAGCTTACCATGTGGATGAAAATTACAATCTATTTCAACGTGATTTCCATGAAGGTGTTCGATCGCTACTGATTGGTGCGTTTGGTAGCTTTCCGGGTAATACGTTGATTGTAGGCGGAAACGGTAAGTACACATTTACAATGCTTTTTTTTTAGAAATTAGAGGAAATGACAGATTTGGGGCTTCTTTACCAATTATCGTCAGGGGGTAAAATGAAGTCTTAGAGTGTTCATTTTATGCAAAACGATGCTCTGTAGTATGATGCACTAAATAGACTGATGCAAAATTTGAAATTTTCGCTTCACAGTGCTTTAACGGTTTCAAATTGGGTCTTGTTTAGCCTCCCAAAAATTTGACTCATTTAGTAAGACACTGACTTGGCACAAACCATTCGAAGTTTATATGAAAATTAGTATGGGAAAACCAATTTTTTTGTTCATTGTCTACCAGCCTTTTTCCATATTGTTCTGTTTGAAAGTTCCATAGCTATTCTTATGTTAAATTTTGTCAGCTGCAACTTTGGGGATAATTTGTTTTTTCGTCAAACGTCAAATTAAATTGTTATTAATGGTTTAAGAGATTGATAACCCTATGGCATGATCAAGCAGCTGTTTTTGGGCAACACTTTATTTTGCATGCTGAACATTTGATTGAGCATAATCATAAGGCCAGCAACTTAAATCAATACCAACTTTTGACATTTGATCGCAAAGTGGTCTTCAGTTGTAGCTGAGTAAATTTCCTACAAGCACAGTTATCATTTTCATAGATAGCGATATGGTGAATTGTTAGATAGATGTGAAGAAAAAAAATGGTTTTCGCATAGTAATTTCCATATAAACTTCATGGTTTGTGCCAATTCAGTTTCTTACTAAATAGGTTCAAATTTTAGGAGGCTTATCAGGACCCAAATTGGAACCGTGTGAGCACTGTGGAGCAAAAATTTCATATTTGATGCACCATCATGCAGAAAATCAGCGCTCAAGGACTTCATCTACTCCCCGACGATTTGTTTTTCCTCTGTTCGGGACCTAACACCACTGTGGCCAGTAATTTGATCTATTGTAGTATATGCCGTGTCCTTAGTATAGTGCATGTCGTATTACTCCATCACTATTGAGAAATGATGAAGTATTCGATTTTTTTTACAGTTGCAGTTTTACAGATTTAATTGACTCTAGTTGAAACACCCTCCAAAGGCGCGCTCCTTTGTCAGTCAAAATTGAATTCCTTAGCAACAAAATTAAAGAATGACACCGATAATGATCATGCATCAGAACCCTAGTCTTAACCACTTCAACCTAGAGAACAACGAATAGAAGATTAGGAATCACATAGAAATCTATCTATCTATCTAACTATCTCATTTTTTTCCTTGTTTCAAGATCATCCTCGGTGGAAAAAGCCGAGTCTTGTCACTATCAACAAGGCATAAAACGGTATGCGCGTAAACAGTAAAAAGTGCAAAGTAATATCCTAATATTCATCATCAATATTACATGGGGCCGGATTCTCTAGAACGTGCAAATTCAATCTGTGATCTAGGTATTACGCTCGAGCTAAAGCATATACTCTGCTTGGTTTTATTCGTCGGCATGCTTCTGGTTTCACCTATTCTGCTCGCTGGTTCGCAGCATTTTAGAATATGCTTCCCCGGTTTGGTCTCCATTTTACGTTACGCATATCCTTGCGGTTGAAAGGATTCAGAAAAGTTTTATAAGGGTTGCCTTACATCAGCTTCCCTGGAATGATCCAGTCAATCTTCCAAGTTATCCCGACCGAAGCAAGCTGATTGATTTGGAATCCCTCTCTGCCAGGTGTCTTAAATTGCAACGACTGGTTATCTTCGACCTCATAACAGGTAACGTGGACTGTCCCGGACTCCTGGAACTGATTCCGTGGAATATTACTCCTCGACGATTCCGTTATTCCCCGTTACTTGCAAGTCCATTTCACAGAACGAACTTTGGATTCAAGAGTTGTTTTAATTCTTGTTTGCGAGTTTGATTTATTTTATACAAGCATGTGTTTAGTTCTAGAATAAGGGGCTTAGATTAAATAAGGTTTTAAGTAATCAGTCTGTACGACGTAGTCGAAGATTGTGAGCAAATAAATAAAAAGTAACAAGGACTAAGATGTGTTCCTTTGATTACTGAAAAATCCTGTTCCCCTATAGTTTGAAGTGGTCAGGACTAGGAATCGGTGGTAGATCTTACATCCCGTGACGTACCACGAAAAGGTGATCTACCCACGTTACGGGGCACCCCCTGACGATAATAGGTTATAAAGTGCCGAGGCCAGAATTTCTCCTATTTGTTTTCAGCAAGGCTAATTTAAATATATCGGGGAAAATCATTTTTTTTTGCTTTCTGATGAACTAGGGTAAGTTTGCCAGTTATGGCACTAGTGCTTCAGTTTTTGGCCCTAGCGCCTAACACGAATTTGAAAACGAGTTTCATGGTATGTTATGGCAAAATCTATTATCTAACCTTATTAGAAGACCTCTAGGGCCAGCAAATGGTACACTTACCCTAGTCCTCGGCGAAGAATCATATAAGTAAAATTATAAAAAAACACATCTTTTGTTTGCTATCCTATTTGTTAAATATTTAACTGTTACCAGTTTATAATGGAAAAAATAAAGCAAACAAGTTAACGTTTATGTAAGTGACGAAGCTCAATGGTACCCAGATAGCATTTAAATAACTTTGTGCAGGAAAACCTAAAAATCCGTCTCGTACAAAGGTTAATAAAGAAACGGATTCAGTAAGTTCTAACTTTTTTCATTATCACAAATTTACATTCACTGAAAATCAATAATAAGTTATGTTCGCTCTACTTCGTCATGCACATACAGAGATACAGATTTGAATTGTAGTTGATTCCAAGACCTACAAAGGCTTCATACATAATTTTATGGAATTCTATTGTTGAAAACAGTTAGAGGCAAATTAATGTAAATGCATGCTCGAAATGAATGTAAGTGATTTTCCATACTTGTCCTTGATAGATGACGCATTTCGCGCCAAATCGTATTCGGAGCTGGCAGCACCCTCTCAGATTTCAATGAAACTTTCTGGATGTGTGGACCTTGACTAAAAATGCCACTTTGCATACTTAGTTTTTCCAAAATTTATCTAGACTAACATTTGAGAAGGGCAAAACTTTTTCTGCCGATTTTTTTCAAAAAAATATTATGGAAAAATGACAACTCCTACAAAAATATGTTGTATGGATGACTTTTAGGAAATTGTCCAAGTTATCGAAAAAAAAATACTGGAAAAAATTTCATTTGGGACCTACACTGAAAAAAATCGATTTTTAAAATTTATAGTCGATTTAAAAAAAATAGCCATTTTTGATTTGGATGAAACTTTGCCTCAAGATAGGTAATTATGTTTACTATCAACCGTCCATACATTGCAAGATAGGCACTTTTAAGAAAAAAAAGTTTTTCTTACAAAAACTTTTTCATGTCTGAACTGATTTTTTTTTATTTGCCATTTTTACACAAAACTAAACCAGTGAAGCTCAAAATTATCTCAGAATCCAATGAAGCTTAATTTGCGATTCAATTTTGTCTAATCAGCACTTAAGTTCACTTTGATTAATCGAGAATTTCATATGAAAAGGGCTCATGATGCATTTCTCGACAAATCTTTTTTGAAATTGGCAGCACCCTCTCAGAGTTCAATAAAACTATTAAGACATGTAGACCTTGTCAAAAAAAATATCATTCCCTTATTCTGTTGTCGACTACTGATGCAAAATTTGATAATATGTGAGAGAAAAAAGACAAAATTTTTCACACATCATTTATTTATATATTTTCAATGTTTTAAACCTATTTTCATACATGCTATTTTTCCTTTTTCCTATCAAGTTAAATATTTTTGGTTCATCTTCTGAATTAGAATACCTTTTTGCCGCTACTTTATCACCAGTTATAGGCACAAAACTGTGGAATTTCTGTGTGCCAGATATTGTCTTTGTGCTGTTATATAGTTCTTCGAGTTCTTCTGACATTTCGATGTACTGTTCAGTGGATATGTACTCGAAACGTAGTTTTGTGATATTTTTATCTGTTTGTTCAACTGCCCAGTTATTCTCGTGGAGTTGTTATGGTGTTTCCATAATCTCGAGCAAGACTAGCTCTCTTTGCCATTCGCTTGAGAGTGCCACCAATGGCATCACAGGGACCTTTTCCATGAGACGTTGCAAAAAAATGCCATTCTGCTTTTAATCCATGCTTTGACTGAAATCTACACAGACTAGCAAAGTTTTTTTTTATTTTTGTATTGTGATGCTGCCACATCTGACATAAAAGTAATTTTAGAAAAATCTATTGATTGTTTAATAAAATCTGTCATTTTTGAGATGAACAACTGAACTGCAACTGTATCGTGAGTCATTACTTCTGATATGATAATGAAGCTAACATTTTCAAGTTTATTGTCTTTCTTATAATAAACTTCAGATGGATGTATTGTTGCTTGAGAATTATTCCAGTGATATCCTTGAGCAGCGTTTTGGAAAATGAATGAATAATTTTCAGAAAAATCACAAATTGCTAGAATTTCGCCTTCATTTAATGATTCTTTTTTTTTCTTAGAAAAAATGACTGTTGTTTGTAAATAAAGTCATGAGTTATGAGTTTGTTAATTTTATCAATGAGATACGGAACAAATTCATCAACAGTCACTGTTGAAACACAACATCTTGTTTGTTATTTGATTCTAATAGCAAAGTAAGTTCCTCTTCAATATGTTTATTGGAAGCACACTTTTCACAAGCACGGAAACAGCAATCAGTTGTTCTAGTAGAAATATTACAAAGCATTTTTTCTATTATTGCATCTTGTGACATAATTCTTAAACTGTTGATTATTAATTTTACATTTTCATGAATTGTATAAATACATACATTATGTATACTAGTAGCGAAGAATTCTAAGTTGCTCTAGGAGTATCGGATTTTGCCTCAGTAGTAGACAATATTATCAATAACATTATTTTCTAATGATACACGCAGAAAAATAGATTTTTGTTTCAGGGCCTAATGTATTTTGTTATTGTTTCAAACTTATTGTATCACTATTTCAACAAAACATGTTTTTGATTCAACAAAATGGTTTTTAGAATCCACAAACAGATTATTGACTCTACAACCGGTTTGTTGATTCAAAAATATTTTTCTTTGAATTAACCGAATAATATATTTGAAACAATATCAAAAATATATAAGGCCCTGAGTCAAAAATATATCTATTTGAACTTAAAAACCATTTCTCTGCGTGTATAAGCCCTTTCATATGGAATTCTCGATTAATCCAAGTGATAAGTTGCTGATTAGACAAAATTGAATCACAAATGGAGCTTCATTGGGTTCTGAGATGATTTTGAGCTTCACTGGTTTAGTTTTGTGTAAAAATGGTACGTTAAAAAAATCATTTCACACATGAAAAAGTTTTTGTAAGAAAAAATTTTTTTCCTTAAAAGTGCCCATCTCGCGATGTATCGACGGATGGTAGTAAACATAATTACCTATCTGGAGGCAAAGTTTCATCCAAATCAAACATGGCCATTTTTTTTAAATCGACTTTAAATTTTAAAAATCGATTTTTTTTAGTGTAGGTCTCAAATGAATTTTTTTTTCAGTATTTTTTTTCGATAATTTGGTCAAATTCCTAAAAGTCATCCATACAACATATTTTTGTTGGAGTTGTCATTTTTCCATAATATTTTTTTGAAAAAAATTGGCAGAAAAAGTTTGGCCCTTCTCAAATGTTATTCTAGATAAATTTTGGAAAAACTAAGTATGTGGCTTATTTAGTCAAAGTCTACACATCCAGAAAATTTTATTGAAATCTGAGAGGCTGCTGCCAGCTTCGATTCGATTTGGCGCGAAATGCGTCAGATACGCGTACTATGTCTACAATGTGCAGACTTCTGCAGTGTCTCAGAGTACTCATACTTGACTCAAGAATCGGTAGAGTATTAATCATGTCAAAAACAGGAAACTACTCAGGATGCACCGGAGCATATTCGTATGCGGCCAATATGGTCCCTGGTTCTCAATTGCCACAATTGATCTTGTTTTTGAATTCTCTTGTGATTTAAGGTGTAGCATGATGGACTTTGCACGATGTCAAAAACTTGTGATTTCCCCGGGGGTGACCTAGGGCACTTATTCGCTCAAAGTTTTTCAACACAAAATCCCAATTAATATTATTATATTTTTAATTACCTTTCATTTGATATTTTGATATTAGAAATCCGCCCAGTGGTTCAAAAGTTATGAATTTCTGAAAAAGGCATTTTTGAAAAAAAAAAAACGATTTTTTGGACCACCCTTACATGGAGATGGTCACCCTAATGGAACTACCAATTTCTACGAAATTCTGAAAACCACTATATCGTTTTGCTATGGAATGGCTGCATCCATAGTTTCATAATTACTTGAATGAATGTGTTTCTTTTTCTTTTCAAAACATAACGTTTAAAATTCAATCATAGACTAATATTTCCCTTTTTTTAGCAATAATTAAAGGATTCGACTCCGAAGGCAACGAAATTCTTTGGTTGATTACGGCTGGAGGTGTTAACTCATTACTGCTGATGGATATTGATAAAGATGGTCAAAACGAGGTTTGTATAAAGAATAATGAACCTATAAATTGCCCACTTTTTTATGATTGAACTTGAACTATACGTTCCGTCATTATCACATACGGGAGAGTTGTTTGTGCATCATTTGAGTCAATTTGAGCGTTTGATGCTATGGTTTATTTTTATTCAACTTATTTGTATGAAAAATATCAAAATTGAAATGGTTTTAAGATGCACGAGGAAATATTTTCTTTCAAATCCCCGGCTTATCTGGTTTCCTTCAGAAGCTTCTTCTAATTACCTTCAGAAGTTTCTTCATTGCATTTGAAAGGTTCCTCAGACTACTCCCGGTTTAAATTTTTTTCTGATTTTTCCAAGAAGACTCTTCCAATTTTCCCCGGAAATTTCTTCCATCTTTCCAAGGAAGCTAGTTCCAGGCGCATATAGATGTTTTTTACTATTTCCACCAGAAGATTCTCCCAACTTCTCGTAGAGACCGGTTCCGCTAGAACTTCTTCCTACATAAGCCGTTATTCTAGAAGTTTTTTTCAGTATGCTACCGGGAGATTTTTACATTTTATTCTGGAAGCTCCTTCTAACTTCTCCAGGTGTCCCGAAATTGTCTTCTGACAACCTCCGCAAGTTTCTCTAAACCCTCTCTCCGACTTGTCCCAAAAGCACTTTTACATTTCCTGGATATAGCTCTCCCGAAAAATTCTGGTAGCTTCCCCCGAAGTTGAAAGGAAGGGGGAGTTCTGTGGAAATTTTTTCAACTGAAATTCCTGGTCCGTGTACTGTATTTTCAGTGAAAATGTATATTTAGCACGCCCAAACAATATTCATCCCAAAAACTATGCCAAAACAAATGTTTGCTATTGGATTTCTATATGACTATAAAATGATTGAGATAGATCTGTTTACAATCTTCAAACGTCAAAAATCAAAGGAAGCTATTCCAATCTATCTTCTATCTATCTATCTATCTATCTATCTATATATATAAAAATGAATTTCTGTCTGTCTGTCTGTCTGTCTGACCCTTATAGACTCGGAAACTATTGAACCGGTTGCCGTGAAAATTTGTATACAGGAGTTTTTGGGGCCGTGGAAGGTTCCTTTGATGGTTCGAGACCCCTCCTCCTTCTGTAAGGGGGGGCTCCCATACAAATGAAACAGAAATTTCTGCATAACTAGAGAACTAATCAAGCAAATGTAACCAAATTAGGAATGTGGGGGCGAGTCTGGGGGTATAAGGAGATAATCATAGGGGTAGCCCCTTAGATAATAGGGGGGGGGGGCTACGTACAATATAGCATGCTTTTTTTAAATCGACGCATAAACTCAAGCTAATATTGAATCCCGAGCAAGACCGGGTACACTCAGCTAGTATCTATATATATATATGAATGAATTTCTGTCTGTCTGTCTGTCTGACCCTTATAGACTCGGAAACTACTGAACCGATCGGCGTAAAAAATTGTATTCAGGGGATTTTGGGGTAGGGAAAGGTTCTTATGATGGTTCGAGACCCCTCCCCCTCCGTAAGGGGGGCTCACATACAAATGAAATAGAAATTTCTGCATAACTCGAGAACTAATCAAGCAAATGGAACCAAATTTGGTATGTGGAGGTCATATGGGGTAGCCCCTTAGATACAATATAGCAGCCTTTTTTTAACTGGCGCGTAAACTCAAGCTAATATTGAATCCAGAGCAAGACCGGGCACACTCAGCTAGTGAGATATAAATGTTTTGAGCTAGCTTCCCTAGAATTGGGAAACGGTATTTCGTAAAATTCGCGTGAATCGTTTCCCTGGAAGAACTTAACACAACTATTAAATCTTGACTCCCTCCCCAGACAGAAATCCTGATTGCGAAACTGAGAGGAGGTAAGAGTTTCACACTTACATTTGATGTATTTGCCGTTTGTTTTGCGTATGGGTGAAGTGGGCAATTCACGAGTTCGTTATCTATGCATTTAATCATGTGAAAAAATTACGGTTTTCAGCTAATCGTAGGCACCGACGATGGGTGTATCAAAATGTATAAAAAGGATTCGGTACTGCATGAGTTTACCGAGGGTAACGAGATTCAAAATCTTATGACGATCAGCCCCAGCCAGTTTATGTACAGTGTCAAAAACGGAACCATCGGCGTGTTTGAGGAGAGTGTTCGTATGTGGAGAATAAAGTCGAAGACCAGGGTCACGGCGATGGCCATGTACGACATATTGGGCTGCGAAAATAAACAAATTATAGTCGGCTGGAAGAGTGGCAAAATCGACGTGCGCGACTCCCAGAACGGAGATGTGCTATTCAAAATGAAATTGAACGACTTCGTGTGTGGGATAACGTGTAACGATTACCGCGGGATTGGCATTCTCGATCTGGTGGTCATTACAGCAGATGGCGAAAGTATTAGACGTTATGCCCAAAAGCAGAGAAAAGTTAGAGCTAATTTGTGTTTGTTTATTGCAGTTCGTGGGTACACCACACCGCACGTAAACCTGTTGAATTTACATAACATCGCTGATGAGGAAATGAACGGTCTTTTGTCTCAGAAGCAGAAACTGTTATTAGAACTGAAGCATTACGAAAATAACATCAAATTTAACAAGGAAATAATGGGAAACATTGATTCACAACTGGTTCAAAGTGTTCCGGACAATGTAGGTGTAATTCCATCGAACACACGGTTGCAAATTGGCATATCAACCAGTTATGATAGCAACGATATGAACATTGACATAACAGTGTCAACGAATAATGCCACCACTATTCGGGCGGTGTTGATCTTTGCAGACCAACTTTTTAAGGAGGAAACTTTGATAGCTCATTTGACGAAGGATGTTTCGAGAATCTTGATACCGCTGAAAACATTGAAGGACAATGCTCAGGACATTCATATCAAAGCATTCGTTGGTTATCCCACGAGCGTGCAGTTCCACGTGTTCGAGCTTACCCGCCAGTTGCCAAAGTTTGCAATGTATACCATCCCTCAGAGTCTCACCGGTTCACCAAAAAGTATCTGTAAGTATGTATATCTGACGGTGTTTTACTCTTGCTTAATGTGAGGTTGGATCAATGAAAATGCTGTGGTTTTGACAGAACTATGCTGTGGCTACCACACATTTGATCGTCCATATGCAGTAGCGCCAAAAGCATGCTGGGTGGGTTCTAAATTTGACCATCTACATTGATCCATTGGATACGGTGCACTTTTTAACCATCATAATCTCAGTTGTTTATTTGAAGCTACAACATTACAGTACTTTTCCATTTTTGGCAATTCGTGATTTTTGGCTGCTCTGCGTCCATCGACGCTTACTTCATCTTTTGATTTTATTAAATAAAATATTCTTTAAGAATCAGAGATAACCGATAACACTAGTTTAGAGCATATTTGAAATTTGTACACTGATGGTCATTTCCCATGTAAAATCATGCGCTGAATCCAAAAATGTAGTCAGCAAAAATCTCAGTAGGATAGTTTTCTAGATACAGCTGAAGCATAACATCTCATCTAATAAAACTTTGTTTACTAAAATGCAAATATCTCCGGCTGTAATGAAGCTATATCAATTATTTTAATGCCCAAATTAAAAGCGAGAAAATTTGCTTTCGATCAATTGGAAGCTATTTTTCAGTGAGATAAGTAGTATTGTTGGCACAACCACTACAAACATTTGTATTTACCTTGCTTAAATTAGCAACAATATCACTAATTTCACTGACAAATAATGTTCAACTTATCGAAATAAAATTTTCTTACCTTTAATTTGGCGTTTAAATAATTGATGTAGCTTTATAACAGCCGGAGATATTTGTGTTTTAGTAAAAAAAAACTTTTAAGTGAAATTTACTTTTATTTGTAAATTAGTGTAATATACAAACAAACAACACAATGTTTACCAATACATGAAGTATTGATAAAAACTGTGAAGGTGATGGAGCCATGTAGCCAAAATCGGGAAACCACTATAAATAAGCCAACAGTTGGCAATATATAATCTTGAATCTGTTAATCATCTTCTCCAGAAAAATATAGAAAAACATTATTCTCTCCCTTTTTAAATTTTCTGTTAGTCGATATTATTCCTATCTCGATGAAATTCAAAGTCCTTTTAATTTTGCAAGCATTGCGCTCTCCGTAGCTCGATATGTTGTTGTTGTATTTAAGAGGTTTCCCACTATTGTGCATTCGGCATATCTCCTTTGTTCGATGTGATGTTGATTGATTTTTTTTTGTTAATTTTTGACCTCCCTAAAAGTCGTTTTCATATTTTCGCAGTAAAATTGATAATTGAGATCCAAAATTTAGCTTCAATGTAAATTGTGATTCTATTTTTTTCCATGATTGGTTTCCCGTCGATCTTGTTTTCCGTACTCAATTTCATGCCAAAATTGACGCTCGTATATTTAAGTCTCAGAGTACCTAAATTTACATCGATTTTTCTAAGTGATGATGATATGATATGATGATATGATATGATGATATGATATGATGATATGATATGATGATATGATATGATTATATGATATGATGATATGATATGATGATATGATATGATGATATGATATGATGATATGATATGATGATATGATATGATGATATGATATGATGATATGATATGATGATATGATATGATGATATGATATGATGATATGATATGATGATATGATATGATGATATGATATGATGATATGATATGATGATATGATATGATGATATGATATGATGATATGATATGATGATATGATATGATGATATGATATGATGATATGATATGATGATATGATATGATGATATGATATGATGATATGATATGATGATATTATATGATGATATGATATGATGATATGATATGATGATATGATATGATGATATGATATGATGATATGATATGATGATATGATATGATGATATGATATGATTATATGATATGATGATATGATATGATGATATGATATGATGATATGATATGATGATATGATATGATATGATGATATGATATGATGATATGATATGATGATATGTTATGATGATATGATATGATTATATGATATGATGATATGATATGATGATATGATATGATGATATGATATGATGATATGATATGATGATATGATATGATGATATGATATGATGATATGATATGATGATATGATATGATGATATGATATGATGATATGATATGATGATATGATATGATGATATGATATGATGATATGATATGATGATATGATATGATGATATGATATGATGATATGATATGATGATATGATATGATGATATGATATGATGATATGATATGATTATATGATATGATGATATGATATGATTATATGATATGATTATATGATATGATGATATGATATGATGATATGATATGATGATATGATATGATATGATATGATGATATGATATGATGATATGATATGATGATATGATATGATGATATGATATGATGATATGATATGATGATATGATATGATGATATGATATGATGATATGATATGATGATATGATATGATGATATGATATGATGATATGATATGATGATATGATATGATGATATGATATGATGATATGATATGATGATATGATATGATGATATGATATGATGATATGATATGATGATATGATATGATGATATGATATGATGATATGATATGATATGATATGATGATATGATATGATGATATGATATGATGATATGATATGATGATATGATATGATGATATGATATGATGATATGATATGATGATATGATATGATGATATGATATGATGATATGATATGATGATATGATATGATGATATGATATGATGATATGATATGATGATATGATATGATGATATGATATGATGATATGATATGATGATATGATATGATGATATGATATGATGATATGATATGATGATATGATATGATGATATGATATGATGATATGATATGATGATATGATATGATGATATGATATGATGATATGATATGATGATATGATATGATGATATGATATGATGATATGATATGATGATATGATATGATGATATGATATGATGATATGATATGATGATATGATATGATGATATGATATGATGATATGATATGATGATATGATATGATGATATGATATGATGATATGATATGATGATATGATATGATGATATGATATGATGATATGATATGATATGATATGATGATATGATATGATGATATGATATGATGATATGATATGATGATATGATATGATGATATGATATGATGATATGATATGATGATATGATATGATGATATGATATGATGATATGATATGATGATATGATATGATGATATGATATGATGATATGATATGATGATATGATATGATGATATGATATGATGATATGATATGATGATATGATATGATGATATGATATGATGATATGATATGATGATATGATATGATGATATGATATGATGATATGATGATATGATATGATATGATGATATGATATGATGATATGATATGATGATATTATATGATGATATGATATGATAATATGATATGATGATATGATATGATGATATGATATGATGATATGATATGATGATATGATATGATGATATGATATGATGATATGATATGATGATATGATATGATGATATGATATGATGATATGATATGATGATATGATATGATGATATGATATGATGATATGATATGATGATATGATATGATGATATGATATGATGATATGATATGATAATATGATATGATGATATGATATGATAATATGATATGATGATATGATATGATGATATGATATGATGATATGATATGATGATATGATATGATGATATGATATGATGATATGATTATGTGATATGATATGGAGCTACCACTCACTGTAGCAAGACAACTGGCGGTAGACTGTGCACTATCCGCACTGTTCGACTTGATCAAGTTTATTATAACCTCTAATTGCACTTGTTGGTTGGGTGAATCCGTGGGCACCATCGCCTACGTGCATCCATGGGATAAATGGGAATCTTCTTCCAACAACAGGATCATTCAATCGTTCAAAAAACAGGCCATCCAAGGATGTCCCAATGAGTGCCAACATTTAAAAGGGGCGTAATTGCATTTGTAAACAATGGCTTTAGTCATCGATTTCTCGCGAATGAAAGCTCACTCATGAAAATGAATGACACCAGCACGCAGAGGAATGTTTCCTTTATCAGCTAGCATTTGTAACTTGGAGGGGTGGGTTTTCATTTGCGAGAAATCGACGTATAAAACCATTGTTTACAAAAGCAATCACTCTCATTTGAAATGTTGGCACTGATTTGTAGGAAGGCTTATGCGATTGTCATTTCTTCTACTGACCATGTTCTAAACTATTTTGTCAATATCATATGAATTCTTACAATGATGATGACAATGTTCAGCACCAGGGGTTGAAACTATTGACGTTTTTTACTACACTCGTTTCGTTGTCGTGCGCGACAGTCTGTTTGTATTCTGAAATATATTTTTTAATTCTGCTGAGGGCATATTTAGGTCAATCATTTCACAATGATGATAATAAACAGTCATCATCTGATTTACCGGTCCAAATTTAGCGTAATTGGTCCGATGGAGATCTACTGCGAACAAGTGTCGATTGCGCAATTATCGGGAATGTGCATACAAATTAAATTTAATCTTGACAATAGATCAGCTGAGTCAATGCGTTGCGAAATGATATTGTTCAATAAAGAAATCTTTGCGTAATCCCGATGTTCTTTCAATGTTTGAATGCTTAGCAACAAGCAACGTGCTTCATATGACGGGAGAGGAAAAGCCGTCCAACCTAACTGTGGGATATATAACGACACTAACTTACGTAGTGCATATAATAAAAATTGCTTTTGGATTGACTTTATTCGTTCTTCATGCTTTTTCATATAAGCTAAAATATTTTAATATTGACCTCAAATAAGCAACGTAAAGTGATTTTATTGTATAAGGATCTTTAAAGTGGAGACCGAAACGTTTTATAAAATTAAGCATATTGCCTGCTCTTATAATGGTTATAATGGTCCACAAATGCCAATTTTGAATCTAGAATAACACCTAAATCTCTTACATTTTCACATTTTTGAACATTTTCATTACCTAATGTAATACGAATATTTTGTTTGTTTAGTTTTCTACTGTACGTTATAAGATTACATTTTTAAATATTTAGTTTCAATAAACTTTTACTACACCATCTGTAAAAATCATGTATTTCATTCTGAAACACATTCATATCGTTATCGCTTCCTATTTCTAAAAATAGCTTCATGTCATCAGCGTATATAAGTACTCTGATATTTTTTAAATAAGAGAGACGTCATTAATGTACAAAATAAAAAGAAAAGGACCTAGGTGTGAGCCCTGAAGAAACCCAGACGTGACATGAATTGGCTTAGATGTTTTCTCGTTGAAAATAAAAATTTGCTGGCGATCAACTAAATACGATTTAATCCAGGTGAGGAGCTTCAACTCAATTGACCACTTTGTTAAGCAGTTTTAGCGTGACTTTCTACCAGCGATTTCACAAAACTGGACCAACTACACAGTTCGAAAAGTAGTGTAAATTTCTGTTAAATATGATGCACACAAATGGAGCGTCATATATCATATAAGTTTACATAATATATCATGTAAAGTTCTAGCACAATTCATGCAATGTAGCAAATATTGTATACAAAAGCCCATCTTTGTAAACAACATTGTTTACAAGTTGCTCGGTTGTGTGAAATTAAATTTAAGTTTACGTGAATGAATGGTTACATCACAATTAAAATTCAGAATTTTTATCTGTGTAATTTCCATTTTTCTATCAATCGCACAAATGTTGGCTACTTTTCTCGTGATTCTAGAAGACTCAAAATAATGTTTTATTTCAAAGTTCGAGTGGTAGTAAACGTCATTTTAACTGCTCGAATGAATTGGTTAATTCCCATTTTTTCTAATTTAAAAATCAGCATTGGGATATCAATTCTGTCAAACGCTTTGCTGAGGTCCGTATATAGAGCTTCTACTTGGTTACCTCTGTCCATTGTATTTAATACGAAGTCCACAAATTCCAAAAGGTTTGTGGTGGTTGAACGAACTTTAAAAAAACCGTGTCGTGCACTAGTTATTCTTTATTTTGTTTGGCCAAAAACGTTTTTATTTATAACTGATTCGAAGAGTTTTGGAATGCACGAAATGATAGCAATCCCACGATAATTTGGAATGCCACCATCGATAGACTTTGAAAATGAAGGCATTTTAATGTTACCTCACCATGAATTTATGCATGGTATTCCTATGAAGCATTCTAGAATGTTCTGTCCATAACAAAGGCTTTAAAAAGCAAAAAAAATGTGTTGATGTATTGAAAAACATTTTTTTTAAATAAAAATAAGACATTGTAAATTAAGGAATTCTGAATTTCCTATTTATTTTTATCACATTTTATACATTGAGATGCCACTATTGATTATTGATTGAAACATTAATAAAAACAAATTGTTAAATATTTTCATTATTTGATCATACATTATATTAAAAAAAAAACATTCATGCGGGGCAAGATTGGTACCTTCTACATTTATGTATCAAATTATACAAAAATTATACATAAATTAGCACAACTGGTTATTTATGTTGCCAATATGCATTGTTTTCGTGAAATTTTGCAAAAGAATTTGTATAAAATAGTATCAAAAATAGATACCATTTGAATTCATTGACACACACACATAAAAAAAGCGTCAAGTCAATATTTTAGTGGAATAAATAAAAACTTTTGCTGACATGCTTAAGAATAGTAAAGTTGTTGTTTATAAATAAACATTAATCCGTATAACTTTATTTTAGACGTATGGCCTTTTGCCTTTTTTGAGCATTTTGACATTTCAAGAAAACATTAACATTTTTGATGGGGTTTCATTGAAGACAATATAATAAACTTACAATTCGGTGCAAAATCTCCTATACACATATACAGAATCACATATATCAACGTACTATGATTAGGGTGACCTTCTAACCCCTAGTTCTCCTAAGCACCACTCGATTTGTACATCATTTCTACTTCTATCTGCGATGGATCACAAGACATTTCATAAGGAAGCTCGATGGATCGCAAATAAGCTTATCAAATAGATATAGTACAATGCATAACGCCCATAAATCAGTTGACAGTTTGAGTTATGATCAATTTATACGTCCCGCCATTGTTTCAGTTTTAGTGGCGACAAAGTATGTGAATTTTTGTACACCATTCCACAGGGGTTTTCAAATATGTACGTACTGTGTTGGTAGCAACTCGGAGTAGTTTATAGTAAACATACAGCAAGAAAATGCGGCCAGTAACTGTTTAGAACTCAAGTCACGTTCTAGGTGCTACATTACATTATTTGTTATCCATTTCCGACAAACAGCATACATCAATGGCCTCGCGGTTAAAGATACTCCTGTCGACAGTTATGCTGAATTTCGAATCACGGAGCGCCTGAAGAGAATTTGCATATGGATCAATCAGGTGAGCCTCTTTTGGCGAGAAACCAGTCCAGGCGATCGTCATAAACCTCGATCGCACTTTGATGACCGTTTGTTTTTGTTTTTTTTCGTTTGTGCAGAATTTCCTGCTCCCCTCGGACATTGAGTACATGACATCATCGGACTCTGACGCAACGGAGTTGAAGCTGAACCTAATCAGCCTGCGCACCGGTAAAAATGTGTGCCTACACTTTAACAATGACGGCAAAACTCGTTTTTACACCGAGGACATTGGTCTGGCCGGTGACCTCATTCAGTCATTGGTGCAGTTTCTGAACATCGAAAATATGAATGTAAGTAGTGAGCGTGATCGTTGTCCCTATGCGTCGGCGTATTTTTATTGGTGTGAAATCCATTTATTTTCTCTTTTACAGTCTGTGGCTTGCTTTCCAGTTGTTTACGAGGAAATCAAAGATCTTTTCAATAAATTGCAAGGCTTGCAAGAGACTGAAAAGCAGATCAACTCAGAAATCCTAGATAACGTAAACCAAATTAAAAGTCATCTCATACGGGCAGAGGATGCTCGCTACTACAATGGGTAAGATTGTATTGCAGTCAGCATTGTTGTCAGTTTCAAACATTGCATTTATGCTACTTAATGGGATTTATACCATCATTGTTTTTATTCGTAGTTTAGGATAGTTTCAAAAAACGTAGATAATCGCCATCAACATAAAAAAATCTTGTTAACCCTCTACTGCCCGAATCGTGGTTTTCGTTTTTCAGATAATGTTGCATACTTTGTTTCAAGAGGTCTGAATATCAATAAGGAAAAATGATGAAAATTATTTCGATCAAGATCAATTTAGCTTATGGATTAAATTTCCACTTTAAATATTAGGTTTAAAGTTGGTTATGATGAAATTAACTTTTTGTAGTTAAGTACATTCTTCCAGGTTGTTTAGTGGTGAACTAACCGAGAAGTGGCTAAGAATCACCCTAATAAAGTATTAATAATAAATAAATTCTTCCAGGTTTGCTAACGGAAACCATTTTTTTCTGCATAACTTTATGCAATGATTTGTCCACCAATTTAAATGGATAAATGTATATTTCCCACCCCAGTTCCGTGTAAAATCAACTGTGATTATGGCCATCGTTACGGTCTAACCAGATTAGCATTGGCGTAGCTAATGGAAATGCCAAGGGAGCCAGGATCCTCCTGCCAGAATTAATAAGAACTAATAAGAAGTTTTCATGCTCTATAAAGTGGCGAAGAGTTCAGGGATTTTTCGTTCACTTCAGGGAACGTCACAAATTTTGAAAAACTTCAAAGAAGTTCATGGTAGAAATTCAGGAAATGTAGTAGAAAATCTGGAAATTTCATAGAGCTTCAGAAAAATTCGTAGAAACTCAGGAAACTTTAGAACAGTTCAGAAAACTACGTAGAAGTGGGAACTATTTTTATGTTTGAGCATCTTCCTAGAAGTTTAGGGAACATTATTCAATTTCAGGGAACCGAACGGACTTGTAACTGCCCGGAATAATTACGAACAAGTTCAAGAAATTTCACGTAGAAACGTAGAAAAAGTTTAGAGAATACTGTACACAGAAAAAAATTCTGAATTTTAACTACCGCGTAAAATCTCCCTTCGTTTAATTTTGAGAAATACTTGACATAAAAAGTGAAATCGTTTACAAGCTTGCATACAATGAAATATCGCGTAAATTTATGCCAAATCTAGCTCTAATGTTATGTGCGCTCTATCTCGCAGAAATTTACATGAATTTTTCAAACGGTGTTGAACATCTAAAAATAGTTCAGCAAACTTCTAAGAACTTCAGGGATCCTCACTTTAGTTTCTCAATGAACTTTTTGGATGTTTTTGGAGCTTCGTTAATTTCAAGGAACTGTCCAGATGTTCAAGAATATTTGTAGATTATGCGGACCATTCCAGAAGTTCAAAGTTGTCTACAGATCTTCGTAGAATTAAGACAGATTGGAAAAAAGTGGAATTTGGAATAAATACAGGGAACTTCGTAGAAGTTGAGGAAATTATGTAAAACTTAAGGGAGGTTTGTAGATGGTGATGAAACGTTACATAAGTTTCAGGATAGTCTTTCAGACATCGTCCCTACACAGCAGGAAATATTGAAGATCTCCAGATAGACTAAGATATTAGTAAAGTTCTCTGGATGTTTTTCAAGACTTCAGATTGATCAAGTTCTGAAGATCTCCAACTGTTAGACAATACAAATGAAGTCTCTCAAATATTAGTCCATAACTGCAGGTTAATCAAGAAGTATTCGAAAGTTTTCCAGCTAATCGAAGATTTCAGAACAGTGTAGATATTTTTTTCACTTTAAAACATATGATTTTCTGTTTACTTTCCTTCTTCACAACTTTGTTAAACATAGAGCTTAGAGGAAATAGATGAATTCTCATGCTACAGTAACTTACCAGCCTTAATGGTTATGAATGAATGCTCTTGTGATTTGAGGCATGGACTTAATGAACTTTGTCTGAAGGTGGCCACTTCTCTGGGGGTTCTAGGAAAATGACTACATCTAGTCATGTGCATCTCTTATGAACAATATCTATGAGTCTCGATTAAACGACGTACTAGATATATCACGAATGGGAAAATGTCCCTAGAATTTTGCCCAATAATATTCATGAAGTGACCTCTAGGGTGACCCATTGAAGCTAGAACATCTCCCACACAAAGGAATTGGATCGAAATTGATGTAAATAAACTCCATGAATCTACTCAGCTGCATGATTATATTGATCATATTATCTGAAATCATAAATTATTTAGAAAATTTAGAATATTTTCTGATGAAATCTTGAATGATGAATCAAGATTTTATGGACATGTTTGTACATATTCTATAGGGCAGACCCGTGCCCTGGTGATTTAGCTATATTTTCAAAAAATAGCACTCCAGGATACTTTGGATGGCTAGATCATTGAAGTAATTCTTGCTTTTTTGTGTGTATTGTTTGATAAAATTAAAAACACCAAAAGATCTTGTCCGTATAAAGTACGTGTAAATCATAAATTGGTATCGACAGGGTTAAACCAAAACTAATTCCATTTAAAATAATAAATTAAAATAACTCAATAAACTTTTGTTGCAAAATATTCAATTATTATCTAGCTACAAACAGGAAATCATGGAAGTTTTCAGTTTATTCTTTTCGATTAGAATTAATGTTAAATTTGATGATCTTGTAAGATAGTGAGTCCTTCCTATTTGACAAATTTTAACAATGTAAACGCTTCTCTCATTTCATGTATGCAGTCTCAAGCTGTATTCAAACGTTATAAGATATGAGGAAACCTTTTCTCAACCTCTTTACAAGCAAATCTTACGAACTTAGTTAGCTACTTATGGCTGTTGGGATGGTTGGGACAAGCTCTTATTGCATATCCATTTACGCTTCTATACAGCTGTTATCCTGCTGTTTTTGTTGTGTGTGAACTTGAAAGGCGCTTATTCAACCTTTTTCCCGGTTATCTAATAATCACTACACAGCTTTTTCTTGAAGCCGGGTTTATTTTGCTGTGAAATCAAATTAATCGAAATTAGTTATACGCACAACACCACATTATTTACCCTACACAGCAGAACTTAGAATCGAACTAGAGACAATCGCATTGGCAAACCTTGACACTACCAACTTAGCTACGCCAACACTTTGAACTGATGTAAAAAATCTACATGCTCTTCTGCATCAAGATCGCTGAGTAGAGGCTATACCCAACAAACAATTTTAGCTGCAGCTTAGCTTATACAGGCAAAAATTAGCTGCATAAGGCAAATTTTGGCTGTATAAGCTAATCTGCAGCTAAAATTGTTTGTTGGGTAGTTACTTCGGCTTTGTAAAGGAGCAGAGTAAAAGCTGTGAAACTACACACGTCTAAAAATAAACTTAGTTGACTATAAAAGTGCTTCCAAAGTAGCGCTAACAGAGTCTATTAGCTGAATATGTTCAGGTTGTTTAGTTGTTGAAGAAGCACTTTTTATGTTTATGTTATTCAGCAAGAGTGATTGGTTGTGCAGAAGTCATCAAATGAGTAATGTATTCACTTTATTAGCTTTGTTTTGCAGATACAAGTTGAAAGTTGATTAATATCTGCATAGAAGTGACATTAGCGTTTATTGGCTGGCGACTGACAAATTGAATAATGGTTGTAAAAAAGTTGAGTAAATGCTCTTTAAAACTGTTTTGCTTGCTTCTGCTTCTAGCTGAATCTGCAGCTTTTTAAACTACTTTACAGCACAACGCTGGAAAAGTTGGCTTACAAAGCTGAAAATATTAGTTGGGTTATTCTTCAAATATGAGAATTTTGACATTCAAAATCTGGTATCTTAAAAATCAGAGGAAATTGAATTATAACCTACGTTCGTCCCCAGTGCATGAGTTGATGGGTCGATAGGTAGGGTCCAGGTGTGGAAGCTGCCTTTCTGACGTCGGTAGCATTGGTGCTCAGTACGGAAAGGAGAAAAAAAAAAATAGAATTATAACCTAATTTTTCATGATTTTTCTATGACTGAAATGCCGACATTGAAGTCCGAAAGATTCAAAGCTTGTCTAAGCCCATGATCTCAAAACTTTTGATTTATCCCTAAATTTGATATTTTTATGTATTGAGAAAAAAAAAGAGTGGTCGTTATTTTTCAGCCATATTTAGTTGCTGGACTTTTTAATGTAACTTGCATAGGGGAAATGGTTCTAATGTTGACCTATGGATCTAAGATTGGGCCCATTGCTAAAAATCTGCTATTTATCAATTTTATCTAGATGAATGCGTCATTGGGGCGGTACTTATGGATATTTTTGGTCGCTATTGAAAATTTAGTCGATTTCTGAATTTATGTATGGGCCCAAATTAGGGGCATTCAGGCTGACATTACATCCATTTCCCCTATAAGATTAGGTCAGTTATTAATAACATAGAGTCAGATGAATAATAACAAATAAATAAATAAGTAAATATAATTATTATAATTTTTTTATTTTAAAATATTCATGTACTAGACTTACTTAATTACTGTCAAGAATCTTGGAATTTTATCTTAGTCTTTGAATTATGACAAAATTGGTTGTTCTAATTTCGTTAACTTTTGTTCGCATTTGAATTCGAATCACTTATACTTACAATGTCTGTATCAGAAATATAATTTTTTTTAGTTACAAAATCTTGAAAACATGGGTTTTTATTTTACTTTTTTTTTATTTTAACTTTCAAAATTTTAAAAATTGTTAATTGGCATATATCTTGAACATTCGTAGCTCCTAAATGTTTGATATTTATTTTATGTGCACTTTACCATGATTCAAAGCCAACAAGTTTATAAAATAAAAAAGTCAATGTCTTAGAATTTAATTTTGGTTCTGAGATTTTATAGATGATTAAATGTTCAATATGTAAATAAGAAACTAAGTTGCATAATTCATTAAATTATCTAACTCTGATACAAAGTTATTTTTTTAATTTGAGATCTTTAAAATTATGAGATTTGGACGCTATGCCATTCGATTAAAAAAGCTTGATACATTTACGTCGCACGTGGTTTAGTGTAAAATATTATCAGCACAGTTGAAAACCGGAATAACCATACTGTCGGATTTAGTGCGCTGTATAGCGCATCATTGTGCAATTATCGCGCACTACTTCATACACTATGTTTAACGTAACGAGAGTAAAATCGATTTGTGCTAGTGTTCTGCTTTCAACTGTACCGATAATACCAATTCAAGTTCACATCTAAGAAAAAGCTGTTTCTATATAAATAAATTTAGGTTTTTTTTTGTTTTTCTCCCTTTATTTAGGAGATTTTTAGCCGTAGGCGCTAGTTCATCTCCGAATGAATTTATGTTTTGTTTCGCTTAGCTGTTTAAATTTCGATGGTAATTTAGCTAAATCCCTATCCCTAATGAAAGATATCGGAACTGTACATAATTCTTTGAAAACTTGAATAAATGTATGGTCTAATGAAACATGTTTCATCAAAATTGGTTGAAATCTGGTCGAGTAAGGTTTTTGATCTAATATCCGTCCTACTAAGGACAACCCACGCTTTACCTCTCTTTTTTTGAAGGGGTTTGAACAAAAAATGGAATATTTCTGTCGAATATGACTTCTAAATTAATTCACCTTTTACCGTTGGATTTGATAAAGAGTTGCAAATTGTTGAGATATTGTTTAAAATCTAATACTGCGTCTTGATTCTAAATTCATCCTCTCCCAAGGCTAAAAATCTCTCTAATAAAGCAAAAAAAAAAAAATTGTGCTACGAGTTTCAATTCCGTCATAACGCATTGAAACGCCATAAGATTTGTTTCGTCCTACGGATAAACGTAAAAAATGGGAATCGCTAGGAGCGGTTCTTTTGTTTTGAGAACAACGAGCGTGAATATTCATACAAGGCGCTCTAATAGGATTTATGTTGTAGCTAATGAACTAACGCATCGGAAAAAAACCTATTATTAATTGGTGCACGGTGAAATCATTGATATTATTGATCTTTTCAGCTAGATAGAACGGAAATGGGCGATTACGACGAAGTAGCGCTCTACCCTATAGTAGGATTAAATTTTATTTTTTCGTGTTTAGTACGTTGGTATAGTACATGTTAAGATGCTACTGGTTTGGTGGTTGACATGGTAATATTTTATTTAAATATCTTGATTCGATGCAATATATTTAGCAAACCTTTTTTTCTGAAATATACCACAGTTCAACCAGCAATCAGTCGAATGGTATTCTTCGCATGCTTGACTTGCGGAGCAATAAGTAATAAATTTACTTCGAGTGTTTGCAATTGTACTTTCGTGGCTGTTAGACTGTTACAATTTATTGGGAAGGCCCCTCGACCGGCCGACGAGAAGGTGTAACTGGTAACACTGCTAGTTCGATAAAGTGACAGTTTGAAGAGTAGGAAAGGAAAAACGAAGTTCAGAGAAGGAAAAACAAACGTGATGGATTCATTGAAAGTTAATTATTTGGAGAAGTTAAAATTAGAGTAAAAGAACGAGAATAGTCACAGAAAGTGAAAGAAAAGTAAGATTAAACGGTAAATTCGTTAACATAAATTAAATTCAATTTGTTTTCGCTAGGACAAGTTACCCGCGTTCGAATACACGGGTTGTTGTAGGGGAAAGAAAGTTAGGTTATCGCTGAAGAAGAAAACCGTTTTGTGAGTAACCATCAAACCCTGCTCGAAGCATAATTTTTATATTCTAAATAAATTGCAGCCTTAAAGTTTCAAGAGAGCTAAACTGAAGGACGGTATTGCTTATTACTACTTTCTCCGCAACACAATTATTATCGATCTCGAATACATCTATTGAAACAATCTAGGAATTATAGAGATCGAATTTTCGAATGAAAATTCTCTTTATCTTCCAAATCTTCTTTTTTTTGTATAAATCGAACACGAACAAAATTACTGTTGCTTTTTCATGAAACTACTCACACAATTTTTCCATCGTCAGCTTTAATTTTTCCCGATTATTTAAACTTTAAATGATGAAAGTTCTTATAACTTTATTATAATGCGAAATATGCGTCGATAAACGATTATTTCTAATCAAAATTTCAATTTACAAGAACCTAATTATTTATTAAAATTTCAAAATATAAACTACACGGGGTTTGTCCAATGAGAGTCAGTCACAAATACTCTTTGCCAACCAAATTCGAAACCAACGCGATTGTCCCCGCATGACGATCCGCACGGTCATTCCAAGTCAACAGCTAACGATACAAATATAATACGTTTATTTGTTCATTTCCGTCTCACTTCAAGGGATGACGTTATCAAATACCACAACGAGATGATGAACACAAACCAAGACCTGGTGAAAAACTACAAGATTCGACTGGTCAACACAAGCGAAGTCCAGTTGGCATTAAAACGCATCCACAACATTCTGTACAGCGCATCGAAGCTGAGAGGTTAGTATGTATCCTCTAAGATGGTTCAAAATATCGATTTTGCTTTAAAATTTGAGCTTTGATGTTTATATGAAAATTACCATGGGAAAACTGAAATTATTGCTCTCATCGTCCTAGCATTTTCTATAATAATTTAAGGGAAGGCATGCTATCTGTTCTTATGTGAAATTTAATCGTCAATTTTGCTTGAGACCACTTTTTGATTGAATTTCAAGATAATTAAGTAAAATTTATCGGAACCGATAACTTTCCGACATGCTAAATCGACTCCTTTCAGGGCAACAAAGAAGATCGCAACCAAAATTTAGGAGAATGATCAGGACCTGATTTAGAATCGATTGAGTGAGGTGGAGCAAAGTCGATAATTTGAACCACCCTAGTATCCACCTATTTTTATTGAACACTAACGAACCATCTGCTTTGTGGTGAGCTGACTATTAGCGTTCGGGGCAAGAGTCACTCTGATTCAGACGATGAGGTTTGGTAGTGCTAAATTTTAGCATGTCGTCGTCATCTTTCGGCTGTCGGATATGCCGTTTCGCTACAGTCGACTTTATGGGTATGGTGTTTACGGGCGGCAGTGGTCAGCTCGGTCATGAATAATTCACAAGATTTTGTGGTGAAATAATGTGTGTCATTGTAAATGTGTTTTTTTTTGTTTGGTTTGATGGGCTGCCGTTTGAACCGTTACGTTTAGTGCAATCTTAACGTAAACTTGAAATGTCACGGTCACGTGCGAGCAAGTAAGCAACAGCTTCGAATGCAGTCGAAAACTTTGGACTCTCTAGTCTGAACTTATGTGGATTTTTTAATTAGGGAGATAAAACTTTGTGCTTTAACAAATTGACTTATTTATAACCTGAGTAGAACGGAAAAAGTGTTAAATTATAGGCTAAATAAGGCCAAATGATTAAAATTTATTTAAACAAGATACCTTTCAATTTAATCAACCATTATTTTCTAGCAAGAGATAATTAATTTTCAATTATTCGATATGATTATATATTTATTTATTTTGTCAAGCAAAATAGACTACATGCAATGTTTATGTTTTTACTTACATGCTATGCATTATTTATATTTCCCTTTAGTCGAGTTTTTATTTGGTTTTTGGACATAGTGATGTCAATTTCTTCGCCATTTATGTTATACAGGGACATCATTCGATTGATGGGACCATTTTTTGCGTAATTTGTTCTGCATGTGTTTTCATAGAATAATTTTCGTGTTCTAAGAGGTCTAAAGGGGGTATAAAAATTTAGTTGTGAGAGTATTGCTGCAGATTCTATGCGATGAGAAATAATGTCATTGATAAAGAAAAGCATTGCAAATCCTCGCCGTTCCTTTAGTTTTTGTGGATTCATGAGCATGCCACGAGCTTCATAGGATGGTAGAGGAAATGCAGTGCAATTTAGTCGTCGAAGAGCATACAACAGATTCAATGCGTTCTTCGTGTATGGCAGTGTATGGGGTCCACACTATATGGCAGTATTCCAGAATAGGTTATAGTGTATGGGTCCTGAAAATTGTAACTGAATCTCTTAATGAAGCCCAGCATGCTATTTGATTTGCTTATGATAGTGTTATAATGTTCTACATATGTAAGTTTGGTTTCCAGTATTACGCCTAAGACCCTTACCATTGGGCATTTGTCTACTATTTCGTTTCCAAATTGTATGTTTATGAAAGGGGTTCAAATATTTCTACTAAATGTTATTGCGTTACATTTTTTTACGTTGAGTTGGAGTAGACTTTTGCTACACCAGGTGTAGAATAGATTTATTTAATTCTGGAATAATTCTGCGTCGGAGGCATTTCTTATTTCTATGAAGAGCTTCATGTCGTCCGCATACACAAGTACTTTAATGTTCTTAAGTTTGAAGGCAATGTCGTTTACGTACAAAATAAAAAAGAAGTGGGCCTAAATGAGATCCCTGGGGGACCCTACGTTCTGAATGTTTATTTTGAAAGCGTACAATTTGCTTACGGTTTGTTCAGTAGGACTGGAGCCAGTTCAAATTCCGGCTTCCATCCCTACTTTCTGCAGCTTGAAGAGTAATAATGGTATGTCAAATGCTTTACTGAAGTTAGTGTTAAGAGCTTCTACGTGATTAACATTATCCATGGCATTCAGTGTAAAAGAGACAAACTCCAGAAGATTAGAAACAGTGGAGCAGCCCTTGAAGAAGCCATGCTGTTGACTTGTTATTTGGTTTTTTAGTTGCTGATAACTTTCGTCGTTTATGATAGATTCAAAAAATTTTGGAATGCAAAAAATAATGGCAATTCCACGGTAATTTCGGATGTCAGATTTCGAGCCGGATTTGAAAATAGATTGAAAGATGTTTAGGAAAATTCGTAGAGAAGGTTTACGGTTTTTCTTGACGTTTGGAGAAGGTAATAAATGATATGAGATGTTGGTCAAATCGAGAAAACTTGGAAAAAATAATAATGGAACTCAGAAGAAATTGGTGGAACTACGTAGATGTTGAGAAAATTTTCAAGAAGTATTCATTTGAAGAACATTGGATTATTTTTTGGCTCTCAGGATTTTTTTTTGTGGCAAATGCTACCTTCGCCACTTGCTGAGTACGGAGCTGAATAGAAGCGTTAATTTTTGGTTACAATTTCACATACTTATTCAGTTCATTTTTAAGCGAATCTTGTTCTAAAAAATCAGAAGGCTGGGTGGTTCAAAATATCCAAGCTCAATCGATTCTGAATCAGGTTCTTGAAATTTTCTCAAAATTTGGACGTGAACTCATACTGAACTGGCCCTTTGAAATTTGTATGAAAATTATGATGGGAAAATTGAACTTTTTCTTCTCAACGTTCTAGCCTTAGTGATCTACGAAAAAGTTTACTATCTGTTCTTATGGAAAATTGTATCGCTACAAACGTGCTGAAGACCACTTTTTGATTAGACTTCAATAGATTGTCTGTTGAACTGTATTGGAAGAAAACTTTAGTTAAAGTTTTTGGTCGAATTGTGTAAGCTTCACAAAAACAACGTATGGATGTATTTACCACATTCCATGACTACGAATAACATTTTGTTGTGGATAAGAAGTACGTAATGATGTTAGTCTCCACTAGCTTTTCATCCACCTACACATAACCTCGGGAGGTTAGAGGACCGGAAGCATGCGGATAAAGTCCCATACGTAGTAAATTGAATGTCGTTGTGGTATTTACAAGCACGACACAAAACGTAGATAGAACCTTGCAGGTTTTATTAATCCCGTCTCATTGTTTTTAAATTAGTTATATTTAATACTGTTGATTCATTCATTTGCAGTTGGAACGTTTGCCGCTTCAATCATCAACAAGTTCAAAGATGCCTTGAAGACGAACAACATCGAAGCCGTGGTGAAAATAATCGAGCTCGGGGAGATGTAGGTGCCAGCAGACAGTTGGATCGTGTGGGATAGGGTTGCGCTTACGGATTGTATTGAATCATGTGCGGAGGTGGTCAGACCGGTGTTTCGTCCCGGGTGAGTAAGCGGCATCGGCTGAGTGGAGTTGTGACATGATATTTTGTCTTGTCTGTGCTTTGCCTTTTAGGATTTGTACAAACCTTGTAAACATTTAACTTTTTATTTGTTATTTATTTGTGATGTTTAAATTTTTAGTAAATTGAAGATCTAATTTTCATTTGTTTTGATGAATCGATTTGTCAGAGTGAACTTCTCCGAGAAAACTAAAATTATTAAAGCTTATGATCAGGTACCCCTTCTTCTCAGAGGATTGAAATTGGTATTATCTGATAGATCTTGTCCTAGCACTCAAACATTTGAATTATGGGGTCTTCATGTCAACACACCATATACATACATGCATATTGAACGATCTGCTTTTGTTATTTCAAACGATTTGTATAACTTAGTTTTACAATCTTTTTTAATTAATTGTGCAAAGTGCAATTGCACGCCATACATATTTCATTTTTACTGTTTCACTTGATCTCTCTATGGAGCACGTACTCACGTCGTTTGTTCTGAAACAGTAATTACTGTCACGTGCAAAAACTAAACAAATCTCACTTTTCTCGAGGCGCCGCCACCGTCGTCAGCATCTCCATCTCATAACGCAATCGATCGCTTCCAGTATGGCTTCATTCAATCGCCTACGCTTATTGCCGCAGTCGGAACCATGTAGTTAGACGGCGCAACTTATTTAGTCTACGCATTACTAAGCCAATATAAACGCCTGTTTGTTCCAAGTAGAGAAAAAAAAAACTTTATATCCATTCCGATCAAACTCGGAAAGAAAACACTCGCAGTGGTGTCGAGTTAGTCAGTCGCGGTGGTGTTACCATATTTGTATTAAAAAATAAGCCCACTTCTTTTCCGAGACACTGAACTGCGATGATTTCATATTGTAAGTCCTACGAACTGGTTCTGACGCTGTCGTCTGATTTGTGAATGTGGACTTTTTCATTCGAAAAGCTGCCGGACGAGATTGGATAGCTTGGTGGTTTCTGATGAAACGAAAACATTCTTATTTTGGTAACTGACCGATACCTTCATTTCATCCTTGTGAAAAACTGGCTTGGTTTGGAAGATGTTGTTTTGGATACAAAGTTTATCCCCAGTCCCAGTCTATCTGAAAAGCTATACAAATTAAGTTATTCACGTTCGATAAAATTTCACACTTCGAATAAATCTTAATTTGGACGATCACTAAGGATCCATTGCTGTGCTCATTAACCTTTACCGTTTGAAAAATTCATGTAAATTTCTGCGAGATATCGCTGAAATTTGCAATATTGTATGCAAGCTTGAACACGATTTAGTTGTTTGTGCCAACAGTAGCTCAAACTTAAACGAGGGGAGATTTTACGCGATAGTTAATATTCAGATTTTTTTTCTGTGTAGGCCTTCGTTATAATGATTTATGGAAAAGTTTGCTATCTGTACTTTTGTGAAAATTTTCCAGCTACAAGTTTGCAGAATACATCAAATCATTACAACGAAAGGCTAGAACAATGGGAGCAAAAAGTTCACTTTTCTCATAGTAATTCCCATATAAACTTCAACGCACCAAGCAGTCAGATTTACTGTCAGATAGTCAGTCAAGGAAATTCCATGATAGTCTTAAGGGTAGGTCCTTATTGTAGCCGTTGGTCACTGATGTTGATCGATAGTCTGGGTCATGGTGCAGGTGGTCATATAGGCGTTCCAGGCAGTGGTCAAGTTGTTTGTTCGGGTTTAGTTGAGTTCTTCCCCCTTGACCTAAGCCCATTTCCACCTCCCACCCACTTTTCCACCACCCCTTGTCCATATCTTTCTCCTGTTTCCAACGCCCACCTTCATCCTTACTCCTTCCCGTTATTTGTTCTGTGTTATGTGTTGTTGGTGTGACTGGGCTACAATATTTAATTGGACCGTTGGTTTGGGAGTGGTCTTTCATTTGACTTACATATTTAATTATACTTACATTAAAAAACAAGACAATATTGCATACAAGAAACTGACATACTGATTTAATTCACAATGAGTACACATATACCCTATTCCTCGCTCTCGCTATCTCCTGATTTTTCTCGCTCGAAGTGAATCAATAGGGTACAGGAACCAAAACGGTAACAAGTTTTAATGTTCTTATTATTTTTGCACAGTAAAAGCAGCTTGTTCTAAAATTTAATAAAAAACTACAAGGGACAGCCCTATGGGGTTGTACGCAATGGTGACGTAGGACTACGTGGTATCATATAATAAATCTTATTTGTTAGCTGTGGCAGGAGCTTGTGTTTTGTGTAGGAATAAGAATTTGAGCGGGGTTCTCTCTGTTTATACTCTTTAGTATGACGCGCAAGATGTCAAGATGGCCCAGAGTGACTCACGAAGAGCTACTGATTCCGATCAATAGCGGTGCGGCTTCTTCCTCCTTCTATGGATGCTCATGTGGGCTGCAGCTCGCTGCAGCTCGCTGCTTGCAGGCAGCCTTTCTTTTTGTACTGGAGAAACCACCACTCACCACTGAATAAACACCGTTGGTGAGAACGGATGGAATTCAACTTTGAAATCTGTGTTAGGGAAATCGTTTTTCGCAGGCAATCGGTGATCATTTTAATTATCATAGCAACAGTTGCACATTCATATAATTTTCAATAGTCACATTTTGAAAAATGATAAAGTCTTATATTTAACAGATGCGTAGGAATAGAACTGTTGAAATTGGTCCAGGAGCAGCTGAGTTATTACCGTTCAAAATCTTTAGTAATGTTCTTACATGTTCCATTTTGTTTTCACAAAGTGTACCCCCATATAGAAAACACAGACGTAGTCCTGCGTCAAAAAAAAAACAGATTTTAACAATTTTAAGAGATGTTTCCTTTTTTCAAACATGAACAGTTTCCACCGTTTGGTTATACGGTTATACGATTTCGAAGTATCTAAAGTGGCTATCTCGGCATGCTGATTGCCGCCCGGTGAGTTAATTCTGAGGTCTTTACCATAAAGTAGGTCTTATCCATCTGAACAACTTTGCCCAAGACGGGAACCTTCTATCTAGTCGAGATGTTAAACAATGTGCAAACAATTTAAAATGAATGTCACACTAGCACCGCCTGGTGAGTGAATTCTGAACTAAACTCTTAAAAAAACCTTAAGTTAAATCTTTTCCATCTGAACAACTTTGCTGAAGGCGGGAACCATCCTCATGAGCAGGACCTGTAGATAGCGTTATATAATGTGCATTCAAGATAATGCAACTTTTTTTTTTTTTTTCCTTTGGTTTGTTTTTTCCGTCGATCTTGTTTTCCGTGCTGAGCACCAATGCTACCGACGTGCCAGGAAGGCAGCTCCCACACCTGGACCCTACCTATCGACCCATCAACTCATGACTCGGGGACCAACGGCTTTACTTCCCATCCGAAGATAATGCAACTTGATGATTTTCGTTTTAGCGCCATCTAGTGAGGAAATTCTGTCATACACTTAGTCCTTAGGTATTTAAACCTTGTATTCCTGAATATATTTGCAGAAGGAAGCAACATGCTATATGGTTGGGACCTCGTGATATATTCATCTCTAGCATCAAAATGTGTCACTTCATGGTTATATTTTTACAATGACCTCTCCCTATGAGAGATCCACCCCCTAAAATATAATTTGAGGGTAAAGAGACTATCAGCCCGAGGCTGGTTCATCTCCAATCGATGATCTTCTGAGCAGTTCCACGGTGCAACTCGATTTTCTCCGATTTGCATGAATCTTTGCATAATTGTTTGTTATGGGCAATGATTAACATTTTTGTTAAAAATCGGCCAGTTTGGATCTTGTAAAATTTTCAAAATGGCAGCTTTGACATTTTTTCAAAAAATTGTAGCACGGAAACTTTTGATAGAAATGACTTCTGAGACAAAGTTTAGAGAAAAATAATGTTTTACTGGGAAAAATATTAAAAAAATGGTTTTAGTAATTTCACAAAAATTAAAAATTACATTCAAAGTGTTTTTATGTTACTTCATACGCAAAGTTAGCGATTTTTAGAGTTGTTTGGAAATGCTAACATGAAGCTTTAGTGTGATAATTTATTAGCTAGAGAATGATCTTTAGAAGAGGGTAGGTGGATAGTTCCGTTAGAGTACGGCAGTATGAAAATTGAATAGATGTTTAAAATGAGCGAAGGGCCATTAATGCGACAATTTTTAAAGTCAAACGCACATCTTTTGCCTAACCCGTACAATGTACGCGGAGACTTGAAGTATGTCACCAAGTCTACAGGCTAAAACAAAAATTAAAATCCTTATTATCTAAAAAAAAGTCCATCCAAAGTGACATCTGTGGAATTTCATGGTGGAAAGTAGTACCGTAAAACGGGGTAACATTGATATTTTTTTAAAAGTATATTCTAAATATTTTTTGCAGCAATGAATATTTTTCAAATTTTATATTTTTAAAACAAGTACTGAGGATCCAAGAGTTAATTCATTAGTAATTTGTTTAACGGAAATTAAAGCATTTGCACTATTTTTTTAGTTTTTTGACCGAACATCAGTATTTTGATTTGGGGTTACTTTGATAATGCTCGATGATTGTAGAAAAAAGAATGCGTGAAACTCTAACATTTTATTTCTTTAAATATGAAACTTTGAATGAGTATATAATCAGAAAACATCATAGGCAATATGAATTTGTGATGGCTATATCGGAAACACATTTCATAAGGGATGGTTTGAGTGTTTTTTCAAAAAAGCGAAAAATACGAAAATTGTGTTTTAAAATGTTTGTAAAATATGTAGCACATACTATATAAAAACTTTATACCATATCAATGGGAATACCCTAAACTGCAATATGGAAGCAATATTTCTAATTTAGAAAAAGCGCAACGGGTAAATTTAATCTTTATATGATACTATCAAAGTTACCCGCATTATCAAAGATACCCCGTTTTATGGTACCTTATTTAAAATATGTGCGTTTATTTGAAATTACATTGTCTACTTCAAAACGTGCATAATTTAAAGCAAGCCAAATAACTGAAAGAAGGCATTCTGCAAAAACAAACGGTCAGAAAGAAAAGTTCGCTCAGCTGAATTTGAAGCCTATAGAT